GCCTGTCTGCCCAGGTTCTAACCATGATGCCCAGTGGCTCCTCTCCATGATCTCCAATGGACAGTGAGTGAGCAATCCTCCCCTTCTTTCTTGCCACATGACTCGGTGCCTCTTTGCGGCAAGTTTTTTCTCTCAAGGCACTTCCTAATTTTGATTTTAACTTCATATCATTTGACTAGAAATGTCCTAGGTAAAGACCAGGCCTGTCATTGTTGGTGACAATAGTTCCTCACCATCTGCCCAGCGAAGGAGACCTCCACGAAGGGATCCACGAGGTCCTTACTGTCACCCACAAATGCTTTGGTGACGTTCGCCATGATGCTGGAGTTCATCTTGGGCAACCCTTCTGCTTTGTAGAGTCTCACATAGAATCTGGCCCAGGGTCTCTCTGATGGAAACCCTTGAGGGATCAAAAGGTTCCTTAGAGGAGGACAAAAACAAAAAATAAAAAAGCGCTCTCATGTAAAAGAATAGGGACAAAAGCTAGAAGCATAAAGAAAGATCCTGATATGTGACAGAAATCTGAAAAGATTAGGATCTATTGCTAAAATGAGTTTTCTTCTTAGTTTAATGACAGTGAAGGGTATGATTAGAGTGAATGCAAACTCACTTAGGTCCTACAATTATAGAATAAACACTGTCTCCCACGCTGTACCTTACAATAGGTACATTAAGTCTCCCCATTTTATAAATCAGTGGTTGAAATTATAATTCTTTCAAAGGAAAATCAGCTAAATTCAAATAAATCAGATAAGCTCAGGAATAGCTTGTCTGTTATGGGTTATTATAGGAAGACAGGCTCTACTTGTCCTAGAAACTGACTTCCAAATGCATAGTTACACCTTCCGTCAGACACATCTCAATGACTCAGATAGAGCAGAATCCCATGTGGATAAGCTATAAACTTGGCCATTCTCGTGTACCCATAAGGAAAGGGAGGGAGGGAAAGAGATATGGAAATGGGAACATATCATTTCCATTGCCCAGCCCTGGATGAATCTGTCTCACTTTTCTATTTGTTCCTCAGCATCGGAGATTTTCGGGTTGGTCTTTAAGATGTCGCCTTTCCCAATCACGCTGATGTCACACTTCAGATACCCCTTCGTGCCAATCCTGATATCACCAGGGTCTGTGAGCAGGGCCCACTTGTCACAGAACTGATGACCTGTAAAAGTGTCCTGACAGCTCAGATATCCTGCACAGATGGACCCAGCCCCACCCAATGCTCTCCCACACCCAAGGTCTCCCACACTCTACTGAGGGATTACCTCATCTGGGCTATTTCCAAGTCTCATGCCACCTCCCTCTCCTCCTTTCCCACCTGTCCTTTACTTCCCATCCTCTTCACCATCTTTTTCTCCAACCGGTCACAAGTATTTGGGAAGCCTTTCAACCTGATAGAAATCCCCTAGCCAGAATTCTAGATTTGATGAAGTAGGAGGACATTAAAGGAGTATAGAAGTCACATATTATTTCACAGGCCATAAATGTGGCTCATGGATTTTTTTGTTTGGCCTACACTGGAAGTCCAAACTTCAAAATCTCATACAAAAACCTATACTTCTGGCTTATCCAAAAACAAACTGTTAGACCAGGCAATACAGAGGGCACATTCCACATGACAGCAGAAGGTAAAGGAGCTGAGTAGATGCTAATCCTAATGGAATTAGTAGAGCTAATTCAAACTCACATGACCTGGACCCCTGGACATGTGAGTTTGAATTACAGTTGAAGAAAAGAGGCCTT